AAGAAGAACAGGAACGTGAGGCTGCCCTAAAGAAAGAAGAACAGGAACGTGAGGCTGCCCTAAACAAAGAAGAACAGGAACGTGAGGCTGCCCTAAACAAAGAAGAACAGGAACGTGAGGCTGCCCTAAAGAAAGAAGAACAGGAACGAGAGGCTGCCCTACACCGTGAGCGGGAGAGAGAACAGCTAGAAGCAAGAGAACGTCACATGGAGATGCAACGTGAGCACGATAAGAAGCAAGCTGAGAGTGTTCTAGAATATTGTCGACAAGAACTCACCTTGGAAACTACACACCACACTCAGCGCCAACAGGATACCGCTAGTCTCCCAGAAAGCTTCAATGTCTCCCATGTAAGTAAGTTAATGCCACCATTCGTTGAGACAGAGATAGACGTGTGTTTTACCACTTTTAAGACCCTAGCTAAAAAACTTAGCTGGCCTGAAGATCACTGGTCTACCCTTCTCAGAGTGCATCTCACAGGTAGAGCTGTGCTCTCAGTAACGTACTCTCAGTACGTTAGCGTCTGAGAATGATTACCAGATCATAAAGCAAGCAATTTTAGACGCCTACCTTCTCTCCACCGAAAGCTTCAGACGAAAATTCCGTGATTATCTAAAGGCAAGTACAACCACCTTTTTAGAATTTGCCAATACAAAGAAAAGATATTTCATGAAATGGCTGGAAGCAGCACATGTCTCTACATTTTCAAAACTCGTCAACCTCATTCTAGTTGAGGAATTCTTTAGAGGTGCTCCCCCTTCCATCTGTTTACATTTAGCAGACAAAGAAGAAACCGACTACATCAGATGGTGCGAAGTCGGCTGACACCTACAGCCTCATACACCGCCTAACACCAGACCATCCTTCCAGTAAGAAGTCTTGGTATGGTTATGACAAAGTGAGTACCGATCAAGCGAGCTCTCAATTGTATTGTAAGTATTGCAAGCTCTATGGACATACCATAGATAAATGTGGAAAAGCTCAATACAAAGGCTATAGTGAAACTCCTAAACCCAACCAACTCCTCCTAAGTCCAGTAAGCCTGTGATGAATGTTGGTGTTCCTGTTAATGATCTTTCTCTCTTCAGCAAACAACTGTATCTTGGAACTGTCTCTACCAACAGTACAGATTCGGAGGGATGTTTCAAACTGAAGATCTTGTGGGACACAGCGGCTCTTCAGTCAATAATATTGAAATCGGCTGTGCCTAACATCACCTACACCAGGGAAACCGTCCTTATCACTGACCTTACTGCTTCCACTCCGTATCCACTCGCAAGAATCCACCTAGATTGTCCTTTCGTGACCGGTGAAATCCATGTCGCCATCAGGGAAAAGCCTTTTTCCATGTCTGGAGTGCAACTTCTCCTGGGCAATGATTTGGCCGAAGATCTGCAACCTTCCAACCTGATCATCATGGACAAACCCCAGGTATGTGACTCTGAAGTGGACAACCCCATCTTAAAGTATGTTCCAGCAGAGGTCCAAGAAAGTGACGAAGTTTCTCCTCCGGTTTTGGTGACCACCCGTGCACAAGCTGCACGCCCGCAACCAGCTGACTCTGCTGCAACCGCTGTCCCTCAAGACCATCAGAACCTACCACCGAATCTTACTATGTTGGAGTTCCGTAATTTACAGAGGGAGGATCCTTCATTAACACCATTATTCTTCCAGGCTGATAATAAACCTGACAGTATTCCAGGGTTCTTCCTAGAGAATCAGTTGCTCTACCGCAGGTACAGAGCCAGTAAGCTGATAGAGGATGACGATTGGGCAAATGTCGAACAACTAGTGGTTCCCACCAGCTTACGGCCCGATATTCTACACCTGGCCCACGGAGCACTTTCTCACTATGGTTTTGACAAAACCTGTCACGGAATCAGACAAGACTACTACTGGCCAGATATGGTTAAAGACGTCAAAATTTACGTGCAACAGTGTCATATATGTCAGATGGCAGGGAAACCTAACATCCTGATTCCCAAGGCTCCGTTAATTCCCATCCTGGTGCCTGCGGAACCTTTCCACAGACTCATCATAGACTGTGTTGGTCCTTTACCCCGGACCAGTTCTGGCAACGCTTATATACTAACCATCCTGTGTCCTACCACCAGATTCCCAATAGCAGTTCCTGTAAAGAACATTACGGCTGCTACGGTGGTAAAACAACTATTGAAGATCTTTACCCAATACGGATTTCCACGGGAGGTTCAAATTGACTGTGGCACCAACTTTTTCAGTGATATCTTCAAGAAGACACTGGAAGAGTTCAACATCACTCAGGTATTGTCCAGCCCCTATCATCCTGCTTCACAGGGTTCTCTTGAACGTAGTCACCAAACGATTAAATTATTCCTAAAGAAATTTTGCAATGAAACCATGAAAGACTGGGATAAACAACTTGACATCATCATGTGTATTTTCAGAAGTCTCCCAAATGAGTCTCTTGGAGTATCTCCTTATGAGATGCTCTACGGACGTAAGTGCCGTACTCCTCTCAAAGCTTTTGAAGACTCTCTACGTATTGCCAGCTTCAGTGACTCTCAGAATGTGCCCCAGTTTTTTCAAAACTTAAAGCACATTCTAGAGAGAGTAAGTAAATTTGCTAATGACAATCTATTGGAAGCTCAAGAGAGGATGAAGACTCATTTAGACCAACGCAGCAAAATCAGGATATTTAAACCAGGAGACTTCGTGCTGGCATATTTTCATTCCCAGGTTCTCCATTGAAAAATAAGTTTTCAGGACCCTACTGCATCAAGGAGTGCAGAAAAAACCACAACTACGTTCTTGAGACTCTTGAGTAGTGTAGAGTGTGCCAATGTCCGTAGTGTAGAGTGTGCCAATGTCCGTAGTGTAGAGTGTGCCAATGTCCGGCAATTTTGATTTTTCCCCATGCTGGTCATTGGCACATGGGTTTTACAAACTTTTTTCTCCATGCCGGTCATTGGCACATGGGTTTTACGAACTTTTTTCTCCTGCCGGTGATTGGCACATGGGTTTTACAAACTTTTTTCATCATGCCGGTCATTGGCACCTGGGTTTTACAAACTATTTTCATCATGCCGGTCATTGGCACCTGGGTTTTCTCGAATTTTTTCATCATGCCAATACTTGGCCGTGTATTTTTCGTTACCCCAGTGACCCATGATGCACAAGCATAGCCAATGGTCAATGACGTCATCGGGTAGCCAGTCTTCAACTTGCCTGGGGGTAGGATTAAAATGCCGGTCTCTGGCATTCCCGAATTTCGTTACCCCGGTGACCCATGCACAGGCATTGCTAATGGACAAATGACGTCATCAGCTGGTCAGTGCGTACACAAATGCAAATAAGCCTGAATGGTCCCCAGGACTTTATGCAACTGATTGTGTCCCTCACATGTGCCCCAAAGAATGAGGTGATTTGATAAAATGCTATGCCCAAGATTACCATCCGAGGGCCAGTGGGGAAGTGGTTGGTTCAAATAGCTTCGGCTATCACTTCCTTATGTCCGGTCATGATGGTCAAGCGGATTAAGGCGTCCTGTACATACCAGTTGCATTGCTCCTGGCAGTATGGGTTCGAGTCACTTCTGGGGTGTGAGTTTTCAGTTATATATATATATATATATATATATATATATATATATATATATATATATATATATATATATATATATATATATATATATATATATGTTATATATATATATATTGTTGAATATTACCGAAAGGGTAAGATTAATAATTTTAACACGAATCTTCTCAATATTTCTTACGTTCTTTTTCACTGTCGAGGGTAATTGATAAATTAACTCTCTAAAATTCCTTCTTTATTTATGGTCTGAGGCCTGAACGCATTTCGTAATGCTTATTACATTTTCAAAGACTTAGTTTACATATAAAAAACATCATACTTATACTTGTTTTGGGTGAGGTGATATGGTACAAAAGTTTTGGGTAAGGTGACAAAGCTATGCCAGAACACGAATCAATGGGTATAAATTCGGTATGAAAATATAAGAATGGAAGTAACTGCAGAAAGCCTATTAGCCCACACTTCGTCTTGCTGCTTTTATGTTTGTTCGGGTTCTTGAAGTGGGTAGGATATAGTTGTGCATTAATTGGCTGTTGATTCCTGAAGTTGACTTTTTGATGTGTAGTGCCTCGCTGATGTCGAGTCTCCTGCTATCACTGTATTTATCGATGATTTCTGTGTTGCTTGTTAAGATTTCTCTGGTGATGGTCTGGTTGTGAGAACTGATTATATGTTCCTTGATGAAGCCCTGTTGTTTGTGCATAGTTAATCGCCTAGAAAGAGACGTTGTTGTCTTGCCTCATCAACAACAGAGCCCAAATGCTCGTTAATGCATCCACCGAACACCATGTTTATGAATACAATTACGGTTTAAACACGACTAACAACTGATGACGTTTGAACACTTTTCGAAAAAATGCTTCACTGACGTCCTATAATTGAATCGCAGTGCAGTAAAAGTTTCATCCACGTACTTCAAATACACATAATCATTAAGAAATCCTAAACACTACAGGCAAAACTTAAACTACTCCTATCTGTACATAAAACTTTAATATATAATAAAAATATATAAATGAGAACAAGTATAGTTTTTAATACACTTCACGTTAAATTTGATGAATGCATCTTAAAGACGCTGCAGGTTAAAGGATTCTGGCTTGATAACAGCTTAAATAGCTGACATGAAACTGGAAAAAAACTAGTCTAATTTAGGTCTTAATATACACCAAACTGTAATATATAATTATGTTATTAGACATTTGAAAAAGTACTGATTTTGAACGAAGAACGCTTTAATATTGATAAATATGTCTTAATTTTTTAAAGGGTCGGCTGTAGCATGGACCAAGGTATATATTCACTGATTAGTTGGGTTCATCTCTGAGCGTATATATACTGACATATCGGTATAGCTATTATTGTATATACGGACATGAGGGGGGTTACTCCTCTCTCTGTACATTTACCAATATGTGGTGTGATCTCTCAATGAATATTCATTTATGCAAGAATAATCACAAAAAGAAACATGCCTTGGTTATGTCGTTCTGTCGTTTCAATTTCCTAGTGGATACTTACACATGTTCACTTATATAAGGCATTCAGCTCTCAGTTTATATACAGTGGCATGTAAGGTGGAGCTCTGAAGGTATATTCACTCAAAGATGAGATGTAGCTCTTAATATATATACTTTTTTGGGCAGAGATATTTCTGGGATGATACAATAGAAGCAGTGTGTATATGGTGCACTTCGCAGCGAATATCTATCTATCTAGAATGTATATATAAAGCATCAAGCAACTACGAATATACCGTAGGACACGAATCTCCAGAGTATAATCACTTAACAATGCACATCCATTCCATTCATTTTTGTTAAAATACATTTTGTTCTTGTACAGGATATAAAAAAAACTCACAAATAGTATTTCCACTCATTCTCACATTTATGTATCCAAACATTACAGTGACCTCGGTTCCGTTGTCTTATAGAGACAACCTTGATGATCTTACCAACGTACACTGATACAACAGTTTGTAAAACAATATTCAGGAAACCACATACTGAATGAATTTGTTCGAGCACAGTACATTCTGAGGTTTATCATGGACATAAATAATAAAAATAACAGTGTTATGTAAACTTAGACAGTAGTAAACTCAAGAGAACAGTTTACCAGCCAATGTAAGCTGGAGTTGTAAACACGAACTAGACGAGTCGTAAAAACGAACGAAAATAGAAAGACCGTAGGAGAGCACATGTGATTAAACAGGTCATTGGTAGTAACACATTAATTGGTAGTTTACAACATTGAATTAAACAAAAATATCTTGAGGCAGTATACAGGATGGGACAAACTAAAACATAAAATACAATAAGTATTAATTATTCTAAGTAAAATTACAATATTAGATATATATTTTAAGTTTGAAATTTCAAACCAAACCTTAGCTTTTGTGTATTACAATTAAAGATTATCGTAAACAAAAATAATAATTGTGGAAAAAATGTCAAACAACAGCTATTTTGGAAAAATTACATAAACTAGATTCAGAAATTAAATTAATAATACAGAAATGCAAATCACCTCTCAGGGTATTATTCACTATGCAAGAAACTCAAGGTGATTGGCCATCAGAAATCACAAGAAGTAAATGAGCTCATTATTTATGAAACAATATATCAATCTCTAAAACACTATGGATTTTGGCTCAGAAAATTTCAGCGTCACGTGACGGTTGACGTACTGACGTCTGTGAGAGCCGTGATATTGACGTCATGTATTGACGCCGTGATATGACGTCAAATATACTGCAAAACATTGGCTTCAGATCATTGTCTGCTGAGCTGTGTACACCATTGGCGATGAGAATTGTATTTTATTTCTGAACAATTCAACGAATTGGAACTTCTGGGCAGGAATTCCTTATGGTATGTCCTCTGGAAAAAATGGCTCTCACTGCATCTTTGACATTTTTTCCACAATAATAATTCTTCCAGGGTCTATTATTTGCGATATTCAACACTATAAAACTCAGGAAAAATAATAAAATTTCCTCTGCAATTTAAGCTATACAATATAATCTTATCCAACTCAATTTTTGAGCATTTAACACTGACCACATTATCTTCAACGCTGCCATTTAAAATGGAAATTAAAAGTATGAGGAAACATTAGAATTAAAGGCCTTTTAATCCAAACTCAAGAGTAAGTTTTTTAATGGCATATATGTGATGAAATGAATATAAAACTCACTCAGATTTACATTAACCTGAAGCTTTGCGTGAAGAACATTGCACTTTTGAGGATGCATATAGAGAAGATTGCAATACAAAAAAATTATAATGCTCATGTAAGGTTATGCATTTATACAATGGAAGCTTCCAGCTTAAGATTCTAAACAAAATATTATACAAAATTATAAAACTCAGGGTTAATACACAATGTATGTGTGTGTGTGTGTGTGTGTGTGTGTGTGTGTGTGTGTGTGTGTGTGTGTGTGTGTGTGTGTGTGTGTGTGTGTGTTAGTTTGAATCAATTGTATCGCTACCTGTGAATGTAGTGTGAAGCATTGAAACAGACAGAGTGAGGAAAACAGGATGACCCTGCCTCTCAATGCCTTCACAACCTGTTGCTCTCCGCCACCACGGGACAAAAGCCGGTTGTCTCCTGGAGGAGGACGGTTGGTCCAGGCTCTCACGAGGATAGCAATGAGGGAGAGAGACATGACAGACTGTTGCTATGAGTCCAGACGCCGAGTCCCTTCTGCATTCAGTCCTTCTGCTGGAGAGATGTACCTCGTCATCGCCTACGTCGCTAGGAATGTGGAAAGGCGCGCCATCACAGGCGTGGGCTGTGAGCGGGTTGACGTGAACCGTCACTATACTGAGTACCACCGCCAAGAGTACTCCCCAGGCAGGGGGAGTCTCTGTTGTCGTCACTCCTCCAGTGTGCATCGCTGCCGGGTGCTCATCTGCTGAAATATAAATGAATAAATAACGTAATAAAAATAATAAATGAGAAAATACTTGGGCTGTGAGGTGGGCACGAACCTTCCACCTCAGCATTGCCAAGTGCATTCAAAGATTCCCTATATACCACGTTAGTGTGATTTGTGTGTGTTAATAATAATAATAATAATAATAATAATAATAATAATAATTAATAATAATATTATTATTAATAATAATAAAAATTAATTTAGGTAAAAGTACATACATACAAAATGAGTTACAAACACAATGTTGAATTTCTACATAGAGCTAGTATATATAATAATTTAGTATCACTCGAAACCTTAAAAATCAATTAAATAAGCAGATATACGAGTGAAAATTTGTGTGTAAACACGACCTGTCATTCACGGCTCAAATGGTCTTCTGCGCCACTTAAAACAAGGAATTCATTTTCAGAATTATTTCATGTTTTCACACAAGGATAAACAATTACTGATCCATCAATTAATGTTTACAGACGACCCAGTCAAAGCAAATTAGGGAAGATTACAGTCCTAAGCGTCACGGTGATACGCATGACTCCTGATTAATCTCAGACAAAACCTGTTTCCTTAAGGATTAATTGTAGGCCGAAAGATATACGTAGTGATCCTCCCCAGCAGTTTCTTTTAACATAATAATGGGAATACGTGTACTCACCTAGTTGTGCTTGCAGGAGTTGGCCTTTGTCTCTTTGGTCCCGCTTCTCAACCGTCAACCAACTGGTGTACAGATTCCTCAGCTTACTGGGTTCTATCATACCTATGTTTGAAACTGTGTATGGAGTCAGCCTCCACCACATCACTTCCCAGTGCATTCCATTTCTTAACTACTCTGAGACTGAAAAAATTCTTTCAAACGTCTCTGTGGCTCATCTGGGTACTAAGTTTCCACCCGTGTCCCCTTGTTCGTGTTCTCCCGTGGTGAAGAGTTTGTCTTTGTTCACCCTGTCACTTCCCCTGAGAATTTTGTAAGTAGTTATCATATCTCCCCTTACTTTTCTGTTTTCCAGGGACGTGAGGTTCAGCTCCTTTAGCCTTTCCTCGTAGATCATTCCTCTTAGTTCCGGGACGAGCCTGTTGGCATACCGCTGAATCTGCTCTAACTTTGTCTTGTGTTTAACTAGGTATGAACTCCTAGCTGGAGCTGCATATTCCAGGATTGGTCTGACATAATTGGGATACAGGGTCCTGAACAATTCTTTACACAAGTTTCTAAAGGCAGTTCTTATGTTGGCCAACCTAGCATATGGCGCTGAGATATCCTTTTGATGTGGGCCTCTGGGGATAGGTTTGATGTGATATCAACCCCCAGATCTTTCTTTCTATTTGACTACTGCAGGATTTCACCTCCCAGATTGTACCTTGTGTTCAGCCTTCTGCTCCCTTCGCGTCATGAAGGGTGTGTATGTGTGTGTGTGTGTGTGTGTGTGTGTGTGTGTGTGTGTGTATTTATGTCTCCTTAAGGGGTCAAGAGTTTTCGGAAATATTTATTTATATATACACATTGGTAAATTGATTATTTATTTATATATTTATTTATTTATATACAAGAAGGCACATTGGGTTAGAGAGAATACATAGCATAGTATTTACAGTCTTGTAAAGCCACTAATACGCGCAGCGTTTCGGGCAGAGACTAAGAGCCATGGGCCATGGAGTGTGGTGTTCCTCTCAGCAAACCAGGTTATCATATATTTTACTGGAGACTCGAGTTATGTGATATGACTAGTTTGTTGCTGAGCTTAAGGCCTGTCAACCGTGAAAAGGTTAGTAAGACCAACACATTTGTCTCAGTATATTTACACTGAAAAGTCTTTTACGCCACTCGGTACACATATTTCCTGCTTATGTGCTGTGTGTATTTACGCAAATTTGGCTCAAAATCCAAAATACAACTCAGAATTTAAACAGTATATCGGTGGAAAAAAAGAGAACGCTGAACGAAGCCAACAGTAAGACTGCCGTCTCAGTATATTTCAGGAAAAGATAAGTTTGTGGAAAAGGTGCAAGCAACCATGCGTCACCTTAAAGGGAGAAACATAACGTTGTGGGTTAAGCAAGAAAACAGACGTGGGGGCAAGAGAGAGAAAGTGAAGCAAGATAAAGCACCAAATGATGTGATGTCCGATTTGTGTGGAGATTGAAGGACTTGATCAATATTTTTATCAAGCTTGGGATTTGTACTATGAGGGAAAGCTATATTATCCCGTTTGTGTGACTGTATTTTGAAATAAAAACAGTTCTGAATTTAACAGAATTTTTACCCGAAGAGTAATCAAATTCATCAGTCTTGTATTCAACAACGAACATATAAATATTTTTTAAATAATTTGGGTAAAATTATGTATAAAAACATGAGTGAACTAAATAAAAAGATATCAAAGGTGTGGAAAATAATTTATAATAATAAATGTATTTGTAAATAAAATTTAAGTAAAGAGAATGAGGAAGGGAACTATAAGGAGAAGTCGTCGTCATTACTACTACGACTATATAGCACTAAGAAGGGGTCAGGATAAGGATTAGGGATGGGACGGGGGGGGGGGGGGAATGGTGCCCAACCATTTGAACGGTCGGGGATTGACCGCCGACCTGCATGAAGCGAGATCGTCGCTCTACCGTCCAGTCAAACTAAGACTTAAAATTACACGGAAGTAAATCACACAAATTTAAGAACTTAAGCATAAAAGTAACTGCTGAAGGCCAATTGTAGGCCATACGAGGCAGCTCCTATTAAGCTCCTTTGACAACAGTGATACTCATCTACACACGGCTCGTGTGTAGGGTTCGAGGAGGGATCGAGTCCCCATCACGGCTCCTGCAGATTTCTTCATGGTCATCTCATTTACATCAGAAGGTAGAGATGAAGGGAGGTGCTTGAACACACAGATGACGGTTCTCAAGCTAAACAATGCAAAGAACGGAATACATATGTATAATTCTGGTGTATTTGTTGTGAATATTCACACAAAATGTGTCGAAAACAAAGTAAAAACAATATTTATAATCACATCCTGATGTGCTCAGAGACTGTGTCAGTAGATTATTGTTGTCTATAGAGGAAGTTCTTGCTCCTGGGAGATGAAACGGGAGAAGTGAGGTTGAAGGAACTCAAGAAGAAATGAACAAATATCATGCCACCAGTACACACAGCCCCATATCTTACGGGCTCACCATAGCCCGTGCTACATGGACATTTCGTTCTGAGTAGCAAAATCTAAAACAACAACAACAACATACAGCCCCGCTCCTGTACCAGGTAAGTCCAACAGAAGTAGGATCCCTTAATTGTTTCAAGCGTAGGATAGCCATGTTGATATTAATGAGATTGTGTGGATATAAATAGGAGCTGCCTCGTAAGGGCCAATAGGCCTTCTGCAGTTGCTTACATTCTAATGTTCACTCCGGGCTTACCATAGCCCGTGTACTTGGAACTAACTGTTCCGAGTAGCTGAAACTAAAACCACAACCACAACAACCATGCCACGTACCATTGAGGACATGGAGGAGCGTGGTGGCAGGGTGAAGATTGGAGGGAAGGCAGGTATAGTTGCCGGCGTCTGAGGGCCTGGCGTTGGAGATCACCAGAGTAGATGTGACACTCATCTCACTGCCCTGCCCGCCTCGCCTCGACACTCTAAACTTCACTCTGGGGTTGTCGTACTCCAGCAGCCGCTCCCCAGAGTGGTACCAGAAGATGTAATCGGGAAGCTGAACTGTTGAGCTCACTTTGCACTCGAGCCGAGCGGTCGATCCCCTCCTCACGTACTTGTCCGCCGCGCCACTCACTTCCACTTGCGGAACTGTGGAAAGGAGGACTGGAAAGTTAGTTGTGGATGTGTATTACAGCGGAAATGTGGAGAACTGAAGGTTGGGATAAGGCTATCATTTCCTGCAGGTCGGCGTTCAATCTACCGACCGTCCACAAGTGTTGGACACTATTTCTTTCTCCCCGTCCAATCCCAAATCCTTATCCTGATCCATTCCAAGTGCTATATAGTCGTAATGGCTTGGTGTTTTCCCCTGATAATTCCCTCCCTCCCTCCCTGCGGCACTGTGAATGGTGGATGGATTACCTGCGGCACTGTGAATGGTGGATGGATTACCTGCGGCACTGTAAATGGTGGATGGATTACCTGCGGCACTGTGGAACTGGAGTGTGCGGTTGTTAGACTATTTGACCTAACATCCGAGGAATTCCGAGTTTAAACTTGAACTAGCTTCACGAGAAACCGCCAGAATTCTGCCAACTCAGTGGAATCCCCCTACAATTATTTTCCCCCAGGTTGTGTAAACTAAGTCTGGTGGTACAGGGGAGTGAGAGTAAGGGTGACAGAATGAGTAAGAGTGAGAGTAAAGTGATTGAGAGTAAGGGTGAGTATGAGAGTAAGAGTGATTGAGAGTTAGAGTGAGAGTAAGAGTGATTGAGAGTTAGTGAGAGTAAGAGTGATTGAGAGTAAGAGTGATTGAGAGTAAGAGTGATTGAGAGTAAGAGTGATTGAGAGTAAGAGTGATTGGGAGTAAGAGTGATTGGGAGTAAGAGTGATTGGGAGTAAGAGTGATTGGGAGTAGGAGTTAGAGTGAGAGTAGGAGTAAGAATGAGAATAAGAGTGATTGAGAGTAAGAGTGAGTAAGAGTAAGAATGAGAGTAAGAGTGATTGAGAGTAAGAGTGATTGAGAGTAAGAGTGATTGAGAGTAAGAGTGATTGGGAGTAAGAGTGATTGGGAGTAAGAGTAAGAGTGAGAGTACAAGTAAGAATGAGAATAAGAGTGATTGAGAGTAAGAGTGATTGGGAGTAAGAGTAAGAGTAAGAATGAGAGTAGGAGTGATTGAGAGTAGGAGTGATTGGGAGTAGGAGTGATTGGGAGTAAGAGTGATTGAGAGTAAGAGTAATTGAGAGTAAGAGTATGAGAGTAAGAGTGAGAGAGTGAGTATGAATGGGTAAGGGTGACTGAGAGTGAGTAAGAGTGACAGAGTAAGAATGACAGAGTAAGAGTGATAGAGAGTAAGAGTGACAGAGAGTAAGAGTGACAGAGAGTAAGAGTGACAGAGAGTAAGAGTGACAGAGAGTAAGAGTGACAGAGAGTAAGAGTGACAGAGTAAGAGTGAGTATGAGAGTGAGTAAGGATGACTGAGAGAAAGAGTGAGTAATAGTGCGTAAGAGTGATTGAGAGTTAGAGTGAGAGTAAGAGTGATTGAGAGTTAGTGAGAGTAAGAGTGATTGAGAGTAAGAGTGATTGAGAGTAAAAGTGATTGAGAGTAAGAGTGATTGAGAGTAGGAGTGATTGGGAGTAAGAGTGATTGAGAGTAAGAGTGATTGGGAGTAAGAGTGATTGGGAGTAGGAGTAAGAATGAGAATAAGAGTGATTGAGAGTAAGAGTGAGTAAGAGTAAGAATGAGAGTAAGAGTGATTGAGAGTAAGAGTGATTGAGAGTAAGAGTGATTGAGAGTAAGAGTGATTGGGAGTAGGAGTAAGAATGAGAATAAGAGTGATTGAGAGTAAGAGTGAGTAAGAGTAAGAATGAGAGTAAGAGTGATTGAGAGTAAGAGTGATTGAGAGTAAGAGTGATTGAGAGTAAGAGTGATTGGGAGTAAGAGTAAGAGTGAGAGTAAGAGTAAGAATGAGAATAAGAGTGATTGAGAGTAAGAGTGATTGGGAGTAAGAGTAAGAGTAAGAATGAGAGTAGGAGTGATTGAGAGTAGGAGTGATTGGGAGTAGGAGTGATTGGGAGTAAGAGTGATTGAGAGTAAGAGTAATTGAGAGTAAGAGTATGAGAGTAAGAGTGAGAGAGTGAGTATGAATGGGTAAGGGTGACTGAGAGTGAGTAAGAATGACAGAGTAAGAGTGACAGAGAGTAAGAGTGACAGAGAGTAAGAGTGACAGAGAGTAAGAGTGACAGAGAGTAAGAGTGACAGAGAAAGAGTGACAGAGTAAGAGTGACAGAGAGTAAGAGTGACAGAGAGTAAGAGTGACAGAGAGTAAGAGTGACAGAGAGTAAGAGTGACAGAGTAAGAGTGACAGAGAGTAAGAGTGACAGAGTAAGAGAGTGAGAGTGATTATGAGAGAGTTAAGAGTGTGAGGTGTGAGAGAGTAGCAGGCCAGGGAGGCAGGATGTGTGGTCACAGGCGAGGCCTAGGCCTCGTGATCTCTAATGTTGGTTTTTATATATATGTTGGATTTTTTGTCCTGTTTCAAATTATAATTATTTAGCAGGAATGCAATAAGATATTGCACAGTATTAATGTGACAATAATATATGCATTATTTCCTTGATAATCAAACTTGTTGTTCAAAGATAATATACAATCTTTGAAGGAAACATTTTGAGAGCGCGAGCTGGCAACACTGTTCTGGTGGGTGAGAGAGACATATGGTTAGTTGTGCTCAGACCTTCAGTGGTGAAGGGTGTGTCCCAGCTGGCCGCCACCAGCCGCCACCCGCCGCCACCACCCACCACCCGCTGCCACCCGCCACCCACCACCAGCCGCCACCCGCCACCACCCACCACCAGCCGCCACCCGCCACCACCAGCCGCCAGCAGCCACCGCCACCCACCACCGCCACTCACCACCCGCTGCCACCACCCACCACCCGCCGCCACCCACCACCAGCCGCCACCCGCCACCACCAGCCGCCACCCGCCGCCACCAGCCGCCACCAGCCACCGCCACCCACCACCGCCACTCACCACCCGCCGCCAGCACCCACCACCAGCCGCCACCCGCCACCAGCCACCGCAACCCACCACCGCCACCCGCCGCCACCACCCACCACCACCACCCACCACCACCAGCTTCCGCCGCCACCACCACCCACCACCACAGCCGCCACCACCCATCACCGCCGCCGTCACCACCACCCACCACCACCGCCGCCGCCGCCGCCACCACCCACCACAGCCGCCGCCGACACCACCGCCACCACCCACCACAGCCGCCACCACCACCCACCACCACCACCACCACCCACCACCTCCGCCACCACCAGCCGCCACAAGCCGCCACCGCCCGCCACCGCCCGCCACCAGCCGCCATCACCACCACCACCACCAGCCGCCATCACCGCCACCAGCCGCCACCAGCTGCCACCACCACCAGCCGCCACCACCACCAGCCGCCATCACCGCCACCAGCTGCCACCACCACCAGCCGCCATCACCGCCACCAGCTGCCACCACCACCAGCCGCCACCACCACCACCACCAGCCGCCATCACCGCCACCAGCTGCCACCACCACCAGCCGCCATCACCGCCACCAGCTGCCACCACCACCAGCCGCCACCACCAGCCGCCATCACCGCCACTAAGAGCCTTCGAGAGAACAAGGAGATAGTTATCAGGAGAGGTGACAAGTCGCCAATATATGTCATTATAAAAAGACGAATATCTGGCGAAAATTAACCTCATACTCTCTGACAAAACTAAATTTCAAAAGGAAATGAAGGACACTATAGCCGAATTGAAGGCAAAGGTAAACAGATTGATCGAAACAGTGTACGCCAAGAAATCCGGACTCCACCTGCCAAATATTATTGGGGAATACAAACCTGGGTATGCATATGGAAATGTCAGGACACACAAGGCTGGAAACCCACTTCGGCCAATCATCAGACAGATACCCACACCCATGTACAGACTGGCGAAACGACTCAACGGCTTGCTGACTCCTTATGTCCCTTGCGCCTTCAGCGTGAAGTCTCCAAAGGAATTTGTTGACTTACTGCGGGGAACACGGGCCACAGGGATAAGAGCCTCTGTGGATGAAACAATCGGGATGATAGCCGACAGAGTGTATCGTGATCCAGCCTGTACTCCTCTTGACATACCAGAAAACATTCTAAGGAAACTACTCCAAGCTTGTACTAAAGAGGCACCCCTTCTTGAGCCCGGATGGACACATGTATAAGCAAGTAGCTGGGGTCGCCATGGGTTCTCCCCTAGGTGTCCTGTTTGCAAACATCTACATGGGTACCATCGAGCAAAAAGTCTTGGTAGACATGAACTTGAAACCGGCCAGATACTGCAGGTATGTTGATAACGTTTTTACACAGGTACCTGATGTCAGTCATCTGCAGGAGCTGAAGGAGGCATTTGAGCAGAATTCTGGGTTGCGTTTCACTTACGAGATGGAGAGGGATGGGAAGCTGCCCTTCTAGATGTAACAGTCATGGAAAGGAGCGGAGGTTTCCACACTGCAGTCTTCACTAAGGAAACAAATATAGGAATGTGCCTGAATGCCAACAGTGACTGCCCAGACAGGTACAAGAGGAGTTTTGTTAACGCTTATGTTGACCGTGCTCTCAGCCACAGCTCAGAATGGAAGCAAGTTGACGAAGAACTCTGTAGGGTAAGGCAGGTCCTAGTCAACAACGGCTTCTCCAATGGTTTCGTGGAAGACATCATAAAAAGGAAAGTGAAACGCCATGCAACCTCTGAAGAGACAACTAACACAACACCTATACCCCCTATTAGACTATTTTACAGGAACGTCTTTTCCACAGCCCATAAAACGGAGGAAAGGGTCCTGAAAGATATTGTTAATAGAAACGTTATCCCTACAGTCAAAAATCAGAAGATACAACTGACAAATTACTATAAAACCAAAAAAACGTCCAGCCTACTCATGAGAAACTCTCCAGACACAAAACAGAACGCTTTAAAAGAGACCAACGTCGTCTATGCCTTCAAATGCCCTCTTGGGGTATGTAAGCCTCAAAAAACTCAGTATATAGGCAAGACAACAACATCTCTTTCCAGGCGTTTAACGATGCATAAGCAACAGGGCTCCATTAAGGAACATA